TACAAATTACCCTGCTGCTTCTCGCCCGTGGGCGGTACGGAAAACATATTATGTTTTGTATCTTCAAGTAACAGAACTTTCTATTTATGTTACTTATTTTGTTGTAAAATAAGGCTTTCCATCTAACGCTAACATAAGTAGCCTCTGACAAAACTTTATTAACTTGTTGGCGATGTAACCTTACATAAAACTACGAAAGCTTGAGTCTTACATATCTGTTCCACAGCTTAAGATACTGTTTATATTTCTTGGATATGGCAGATACTACTTAAATATCCCGGAAATATTAGCTACTACTTAGGATAATATTGAGATATGGTATATAATACTTAGATATAGCACACATTACTTACACATTCTGGAAATAGTGGACACAACTTAAGATGCTACTTAGATGTCCTAGATATGATAAATAATATTTAGATACCCTGGATATAACAGACACTACTTCAGATCCTACTTATAAACCCTGGATATAGTAGACACAACTTCAAATACTACTGAAATACGCTGGATATAGTAGATACTACTTCAAATACTACTTATAAACCCTGGATATAGTAGAAGCTACTTGAAATACTACTTAAATACTCTGGATATAGTAGATACTACTTCAGATTCTACTTAAATACTCTGGATATAGTAGATACTACTTCAGATTCTACTTACAAACCCTGGATATAGTAGATACTACTTCAGATACTACTTAAATACTCTGGATATAGTAGATACTACTTCAAATTCTACTTAAATACTCTGGATATAATCAATACTACTTCAGATTCTACTTAAATACTCTGGATATACTCGATACTACTTCAGATTCTACTTAAATACTCTGGATATAGTAGATACTACTTCAGATTCTACTTACAAACCCTGGATATAGTAGATACTACTTAAATACTCTGGATATAATCGATACTACTACAGATTCTACTTACAAACCCTGGACATAGTAGATACTACTTCAGATTCTACTTACAAACCCTGGATATAGTAGAAGCTACTTGAGATACTACTCAGATATTCCCTTTGGATACTCTAGATGTAGCAAATGCTGTTTAGATATCCTTTATATAGCGGATACTATTTAGATATCCTGGATATAGTAGATACTACTTAAGATGCTATTTAGATAGTTTGGACATAATAGATAGTACTGGATATCCTAGATAAGGTAGGTATTACTTAAATATACTGAACATGGTAGATACTATATAGATAGTATAAACATAATATATGCTACTTAGATAACCTGGGCATAGTAACCACTACTTAGGGTGCTACTTAGATATCGTGAACATAGCAGATAGTAGTTGAATACCTAAATATAGTATATATTGTTTAGTTAAGGGAGGTAAATTTCATTTCAAAAGAGGGTAGGCTGATAGTGGTTTTTATGTGCTCTGCAAAATACACCATATGACTCAATGAAATTGTTTTAATACTGTAAGGGAAAATAGTGGATGCTTGGTTTAAGTTTGAGAATACTAAGCTACATTGCTCAGATGTGCGCATAAAATGTTTTAAAAAGTATTTCTTAATATATCACAAAAAATGCTATAAAAACTAAAGAAACATTCCAGCAACGTTATGTAATTAAATATCATAAAGGTTTAAAGACCTTTTAAACCTAATGAAAATCATTTGGGTTGATCTAATTGTAAACCTTTTAAACCTAATGAAAATCATTTGGGTTGATCTAATTGTAAACCTTTTAAACCTAATGAAAATCATTTGGGTTGATCTAATTGTAAACCGGCTTCGTTTAATAGGAATGCACTTCATGGCCATCAAAAAATCTGTAATTATTTTTAAAACTAACAACAGTGCACTACTTTATCGAAGTTGTTTCTGAAGCTGTTATATGATACTAGTATGTAACGATATACTATTTGACATATGGAATGAAGCTGACTTTATCCAGATCTTGAAGATACCTGCGATTAGGTATCAGTGACTGATGGAAACTCGTCAGCTTATGGCAGCTGATTAACGTGATAGCCTTCTTTTTTCTTTTTTTTTCTTTTGCGCATCTGCTCATTTATGCCCTAAGGTAATCTTAATTAAATACAACTGCCACTGGTGAATTCATCTATATACGATAGCTTATATTAAAGTAATAAGACTAAAGTAAGTGTACAGGGTTAAATTTCATTTTTAGATTCTTTGATTTTTTCTCATTACTTGTTTCCAGGAATAAATAAGTAATCAGAAAATTTGTTGAAAATAATTATTGAAATGAGATATGTATGAAACGAATTACAGATTACTCATTTTTCATCTGCTTTGGCATTTTAAGTTATAGTTGAATTTAATAATTCCTCTGTGATAAATAAAAGTAGAACTTCAAATTCCGGAAAGTTAACATATGAAGAGAATGATACATGACACACTCATATTTAATTGTAAGTTAATCATAGCATAAAAAAACTTTTTTTTCTTATTTTGGGCAATAAATCATTTTGCACCAGGATCTTGAGTTTACTCCGATTACTTTACAAAACAAAACATGTTTCGAGTTCACATTTGTAGCAGATTATCAGAAAGACAGGTACGTCAAGACATTTGATAATTATACAAATATAAGTATTAGAATCGAATTACTTTTAGATGTTTATGCATTTTGAGATAATCATAACAGATCTTCCAGAGAATTTCATGTGGCGTATAACGTTAATTAGAAATCCAATTATTAATAACAGTATTATAGAATAAAATCTCTCTTGATAAATCATGTCCAAAGGTCAATAAATTAAATGTTTTTTTATGTGTGTTTGTGTATTGATTTTATTTAAAATCATCTAAGGTATAAAAAGGAAAGAGAGCAACAATCATTTCTCAGTCAACGTAATGCTCTGAATAACTACTTAATACGTTGATTTGCCCTATGATATATTTGCATTTAAACACTATATACAGTGTAGAAAAGTTTCAAATTCAGAATTATCATATAGAAGACACTTGGATCTGAGTAAACAATAACATATCTAATCCAATGTTATAGCTGTTCCGTAAAGCTGGAGACAAAGCTTTCTGTTAGCTTTTTATAACAAAATGTGGATATACTCTGTAATTTGTACGAAATTTAATCAAAATATACCTTTTTATGTCAGTTTTGTGTGTTGAATAAATGTATAACATATAATTAGATTTGTTTAACCCACACCTATTTTATGAAACTCTTTCATTACCTCAGAAAGCTAGATAAATAAGATACCGTTATATAGAGGATAACAGGAACATTTAACGTCGTATAAATGGTCTAGAGGTAGTGATGAGATAATATGTTTGACATTTCATCCTACATATGTGAAACGAACAACTGATTGTTGTTGTTTGAAGTTAAGCACAAAGCTACACAATGGACTATCTGTGCTCTGTCCACTACGGGTATCGAAACCCGGTTTCTAGCGGTGTAAGTCTGTAGACATACCGCTGTGCCATTGGGTGACAAAAACTGATTGACACTTTGTCTTAAAAACTTTTCAGATGTGTTAAAGAGTTGAACAAATATTGTTATACTAGATATTAGTAAGTGTGATTTTATTTAAGACGTTTTTGCCACCATATAACCATGGTAACTAGTACGATTTAATTTAGAATATTTTTCAACATCTCTTATGTTGATACTGAATAACTTTTATTTCTCTTCGTTCTCATATTTGCCCTCTAATTTAAAATTGAAATCTGTGGAACAGAGGAAGGAATAGGTTTCAACGTAATGTAATTTAACTTTGGTAACGGTTCATAGTGTTTCGAAAACTATCCCAGAAGGTGTTCGATGTGCTTTTTCGTCATTCCCTATGAGCATATCCAGTCTAACCTTAAATGAATAACTTTTATCTCTCTTCGTTCTTATATTTGCCCTCTAATTTAAAATTGAAATCTGTGGAACAGAGGAAGGAATAGGTTTCAACGTAATGTAATTTAACTTTGGTAACGGTTCATAGTGTTTCGAAAACTATCCCAGAAGGTGTTCGATGTGCTTTTTCGTCATTCCCTATGAGCATATCCAGTCTAACCTTAAATGAATAACTTTTATCTCTCTTCGTTCTTATATTTGCCCTCTAATTTAAAATTGAAATCTGTGGAACAGAGGAAGGAATAGGTTTCAACGTAATGTAATTTAACTATGGAAACGGTTCATTATGTTTCGAAAACTATCCCAGAAGGTGTTCGATGTGCTTTTACGTCATTCCCTATGAGCATATCCAGCCTAACCTTAAATGAAACTGCTGCAGATATAACCTCTTCTAGGCAATGTTCATTAATCCTCTCAGTAAACTGCACATTGATATGCATTGTTTTCAAGCCACCAATCTCATGCTGTTGAAAGGTAAAGGAAGAAGAGAAATAAACGTAATCATAATTTGGCAGAAAAACCATTCAGATAAACGGTATAAAATAGTGCAATGTCTAAAATTGTCTACGAACAAAATTTAAAATACTAAATGTGCCTCTGGTAAAATTTCTTTCCCTGTAATAAGTAGATTTTCTTAGAGCAAAGCCGTAGTGGGTTATCTGCGGCGTCCACCGCAGGGCATCGAACCACAGATTTTAGCTTTGTAAGCCCGTAAGTATACTGATGACAGTTTGAAGATACAATAATTTCAATTGAGAGTTGTTGTTTTTCTATATTCAGAGTGTAGTAAATAATATATATAAATCAACATTGTAAGGTATGAATAATAATATTGGAAAAACGTGACTACATCATTTGCGTTAGAACAACAGTATAAACTAAAGTTTTCCTTCGTGTTTTTCTAAGGCCATTAACATTTTCATTTTCTTCAAATAGTTCTATCTCCTGAGCAATAATTTCCCGCTTTTTGTTTTCCCTGTCAAGCTAATTTAAAACTAGTTTTACAAAATAGCATGAATCTTTTACTTTCTATTTGTGAACGTATGGAGATTAATGTCGAGTTTTAATTATCTCCTGCAACAAATAGTTTTTTTTAATTTGAAATTTTTACGTGAAAAATATAGGGTATTACCTGGACGTTCCTTTTTAGTCTGGGATGAAGGATAAATGACGTCCTGTAATAAATAAAAGGAGGATTATTTGGAAACACACCATATTACTAAAATGAAATGAAAAATATTATACTAAATCAACGATGGAACTAGAGACAAAGGTGTATATATTTTATATACGATCAAGTACTTATCTCCAAAAAATTAAACTGAATGCTTTTATATTACGTATATATTTTAAAATTTGATAACCGGGAACCCACTTTTTAGAAAATAAAAGTTTTGAGATGGCTTGACTGGGTAATGAAAAAACTTTATTATAAATGTACGTCTCAAAACTTTTATTACGTATATGTTAATCTAATACACTTTATTCTTTTCACACACACACATATCAAACATCTTAACCCTTATGAAAACTCTATATGGTGGCTGCATAAAGTATCACCAAACGATTTTATTCTGTATACCTTCTCCTTCCTAGTTTTATATTTTTTATCTTAATCAAAATTACCCCAGTGTCCCAGCGATAAATCTGAAGGCTTATAACTCTAAAAACCGGGTTTCGATATCCTTGGTGGACCTAGCACAAATAGTCCAATGTGTATCTTTGTGCTTAACAATAAAAACGAAAAATAAACAACAAACTTAATTCAAATGTAAATCAGTACTCACGTGGAAGATAGAGAAAATGGGGTTCTGTAGAGAGAGAAAACTTAAGATAAGAAAGGTAATGTACAACCATAGACGATCACTGTGCTTAATTAGCATGCCAAGTTGTAGATCAAAAAGTTCGAACCACGATACGCCTATCAACCTTAGTTGTGGGGATATTATAATCGTGAAATCCAGTTCCGCTATGTGGTTAAGAATAGCTGCGTAGGAAAGAGGTGCTCACTGGTTGCCGGCAGGTCTAAATTAGGGATGGTCATGCCTGAAACACGGGACCCTGACCAGGTAGTTTAACCTACATGTTTCATACGATAAAATTCAAGTTCCAAACACCAAGTACCATTCACTTTATTGTATGTCTCCTAATATAATCAAATTAATTGTGTACCGGTCTATTCTGTATAAGGACCATGAATCACTGAATTTGATATAACTATGTTGATTTTTAACATTTTAAAACTTGACACTACCATTTTATGTATAGTGTATAATGTCTTATGCAGTATAGCAGTGTCTTATCATACAATAGTGTTCATTGTTTTATCAAAGTCTATATGGTTTACAGTCATAATAAATTGTGTATCAGCCATTTCATAGGACAACATACACAGCAATTAGTCTTACACTGCTAAATTAGGGACGGCTAGCGCAGATAGCCCTCGTGTAGCTTTGCGCGAAATTCAAAAACAAACAAACAAACAAACACAGCAATTACTACACGGTTTCACAAGATGTCGTTTAACTCTTTGTTATTGAACATCACACTTTCACAATCATAAAACCATATTTGGAATACATATGTGTGTACCAATTATTTGAGATAAAAGTAGGAAAACATCAAAATATTATATAATTGTAAATATAAGTTGATATAAACGTATTTATACGTACTGTATCAACACGCATAATGCTACCGTTTTATTATAATTTCATCTATAAATAACTTGATAAAAGCGTAGAATGAACAATTAAATCAAATCACAGTGGCTTCCCGACAGGTTTTCACAGTAGAACAGGTGTTGGTATTTATTAAGGTACACGTCAGAGAAGGTTCACTTATTTTATACTGTTGCAGAACCTAGCGCTTCAAGGGTTTTGCTCGGCTATGTAAGCCTGATAACAAGACTGGTTGCCACTTTTTCAACTCAACCACAGCTCAAGTTGTACACCTTGGTTTTGAACTTTCGCTATGCAGCCCACCATGCCACCCACTAGATCACACCCAGCCCAAGAGTGGAATGAGAAGACGATGACATTTTTGGATTGTATTTAGACTTATTTCTGTTTTGATTCTAAAAACAAAAGTTTCAAAAAAAGAGTCAAAATAAAAATAGGAACGAAAAAAATGTACAAACCTTCTGTGAAAAGACATTTAGGAAAAACGGCGATTTTCAAAATGTTGATAAAATCTATACTTATTTCTAAAACAAGAACAGTTTAAGTTACGTCTATCCAACAGGAAACTTGTTTAATGAGAATATTTAGAGAGCTTATCTTGACTCATAGTAATTGATCACATGGACACTGTAAAATGACCCAGTTATCTTTTTTTTTTCTCATTCTCTAATTTTTCTATTTCTTAACAAGCTGTAGTGATGTAGAGAAACTGTTGAATATGTTACCATAGAAGTTTTGGGACCGAGAGTATGCTAATACGTATTTCGTCTTGTCTGTTTGTTTTGGAATTTCGCGCAAAGCTACACGAGGGCTATCTGCGCTAGCCGTCCCTAATTTAGCAGTGTAAGACTAGAGGGAAGGCAGCT